AATTTGCAGACTGGAGTATCAATTTGACTAGGTAGTTAAAAACATTCCAAAAGGAAAGAACTTTGAAAGATTATTTTTTTTATTAAATGTTTTTATTTTAGATTGAGTGAAAGTTTACAGGGCACATCATCAGCTTCACATTCAACCATTCATATAGCCTGTTTCATTACATTGATTATCATCCCCTCCATATATCATCAATTAACAGTGTTTCTCTCTATCCTCTTTAGCTTTTTATTTTATTTTATTTGGGGGGGGGAGGTGAGGGAACTTGCCTTTTTGGAATTTACAGTCTCGGCTTTTAGGGAAGGTTTTTACATTTGTCTGTGGATATCCAGGGCTCATGTATGAGATTACTAACAAGCATTACTGAATAATCAGATGAGGGACAGTTTGCTATGTCTACTAGGTGGCTAAAGTCTGATCCTCAGAGCCTATGGTTTGGACAGTCAACAATGCTTGGGCCCACAGGGTCTTGACCTCCTGACCGGGTCTGCACGGTCTGCATCAGATTCCCCCTTATTTATTGTTTGTTTAAGGGACGCTTCCTGTCTTAGGCGGTCAGTGTGAATTCCTCAGTCTTACCAGGAGCTCTGGTAGCGTAGTGGCTATGAATTGGGCTGCGAACCTTAAGGTCAGCGATTCGAAACTACCAGCCGCTCCGCGGGAGAAAGATGAGGCTTTCTACTCCCGTAAAGATTTACACCCTCGGAAACCCTGTACAGCGTCGCTATGGGTTGGAACCGACTCGACGGCACTTAACAACAACAACAACAACCAGTCATCAAAACTCATTGCAGCATGGCAATGGCTCTGTCTTAGGTTGCCGAGGTTTCAGAAGGCTTTTTGCCTGAGAACAACTCCAGCCTAGCAGAGATTAAGTCCATATTGTGTGTAGGTTTATGTGTTCGGATGCCATTATTTCCTGAGTACCTCATGCATCTGACAGCTGAACAGCCAGAGTTAGAAACAGAGTATATTTATAAGTGTGTTTGGGGGCCAGTCCCCCCAGCCAGCCCTCACAGGAACAACCCTGAACATACTCTTTAATGGTCACCTGGTTGTGATGTCATACCCCGAGAGCCTTAGGGACTATAAACTGTCCTAACTGCAATAGTCCCCTCTCTGTTTTCTGAAGGCATGGCTTACGTGTGTGACACACGGCTGCTGCCATCAGTCCTGGTTGTAGAAAGAGAGTCCTTTGTTCTTTGTGCCCTCTAAAAGATCCCTACGTAGAATGGAATTTTGGAAACTCATTCATGGTGTCAATGATTTCCCTTGCTCAGGTGATCTACATGTGTCTTTGTCTGTGTTTACTCTCTTTAAGCCTTAATAAAGAGCTTGTATAATATTTATAACTTTGAAGATAGGGTCTCTTTTCTCCCTATAATAGGGGTTATTATATTTGAACCTAGTTCTCCCATTTTTCTTTTTGCTTTCAATGTATCCTGGTCTATCTATGAAGTTTTTTGACTCCTTTGTCCTCTTTCTTGGATTGTCTGAATTTTCTGTTTGTTTGTTTTTTATCTTCTTATTCTATGTTCTCCCTCCCTTGTTTGGCAGTTATATGCTCAATATCTATACTTTCAGTAATCTACCTTTAAAACTTTAATTTTACCATATACATATAAGAAAGTTAATACTTTGACCTCAACACTCCATCAAAAAAAGACCAGACACTAAAACATTTTAGAGTAAATTATCCCTTCCTGACTTACATCGTATTATTGTCTAATATTTGAGCTTTCCTTTTTCTTAAACCCACAAATTAGTCATTATTATCATTTTCATTGAGCCCTGGTGTTGCGCTGTGGATTAATGTGCTTGACTGCAAGGTTGGTTTGAATCTCAAGGTCGGCAGCTCAAGCTCACCACCTACTCCTCAGAAACCCTATTCAGGGTTGCTACCTACTCAAAGGCACTTAAAAACAAACAACATTATATTCAAAGTTGTTTCCAATGAACTGCTCAAATAGTCCATAGGCAAAAGAAAGATACCAGTAGTCCAGAAAGCATCTTTGTCCCCTCCTCCAAAATACTGCTCAGCCTATTTCCCAAATATTGTCTGTCTACACATTACCTAGCAACAACAACAACACATTCCTAAGTTTACACATGCCCTTCTCTTTCCTGCAGTGTTCTTACACTCACACTTTCACACTAGGATAACTTCCATTCATTCATCAGTACATTCTTTAGTACTTTCTGAGGGTCCATATTGCCAAATGCTAAGCATAGAACAGTTAATTACCAAGAGAGATATAGTCTGTGCCCATGTAAACCTTAGTGTAGTAGGATAAAAGGCATTAACAGTCATAAATAATAACTAATGTTCATTGAGTTCACTGAGTATTTACTAATCATGGTTCTACGTACTTACTATTGTCTCCATTTTACAGGCAAAGAAAAGTTAAGTGTTTTGTACATAGGCACAAAGTTAGTAAGTAGAGTAGAATGATGTATTTGAACCTAGGCATTCAGGCTCCAGAAACTGTACTTCTAACCATAAAGCTATGCAAAATAAGCAATTCAATGGTTACTACTGATGAGAACCTTGAGCAGAGAAACAAGTTGTTCAAATAAAGAATAATGGTAAAAGGGGCTAAATTAGGAATGGTGACAGAGCTCTCTGAGGTCAGAACTTAGTCTAATAAAGGGGAGTAGGAGAGTGTTAGCTCCAAAAGCAGCAGTAATTGCAAAGAACTGAAACAAACACAAACATGGCTAGAGTCAATAGATTTGAATTCTCAACTGAATAGCTTAAATTCCTCTTTGAAGTTATCAAAGAATGGCCATTGTAGGGAATGGGAGGCAGATAAAAGCTAGTAACCCTGTGGAGAAGTCACTATTGGGAATGGAAGAAGGTGTCCAGTAAGCACATGTACCCAAAGCTTTAGGCCTGAGATAGGACTGCTTCAGAACTAGGGGAAAGCAAGAAGTGTGGAAGAAACTGGATCAAGAGGGGATCAACGAGCTGATAAAAATGAAGGGATAAGAAGTCTTTATGTCAAAAAGAAATGTGGCATGAGCTTTTGTTTGTTAATGCCATCCAGTCGGTTCTGACTCATAGCAAGCCTGTATAGCGTTTCTTGTTCAAACTTTTTCCCTATATATAATGGAATGTTAACCTGTTGCAAAGAAAATTGAATTAAGCATTGGCACATGCTGCATCATGGAAGAATCTTGAGAACATCATGATAAGTGAAAAAACAAATGAAAGGCCACATATTATATGATCCCACTCATATAAATTGTTCAGCATAGGACCTAAAGTAGATTAGTTGTTGTTGTTGTTGTGAAGTGATGTCAAGTCGGATCCAACCCATAGCAACCCTGTATAGGGTTTCCGAGGAGCAGCTGGTAAGCTTGAACCACCGACCTTGTAGTTCAAACGGCTTTGTAGTGTGGTGCATTAACTCACAGTGCCACACCAGGGCTCCGAGGTAGATTAGCAGTCCCCCCAAAATTCGGTGGGAGTGGGGAAAGAGGATAAGTGAGGAGTGACTGCTAATGGATATGGGATTCTTTTTGGAGTCCTGAAAATGTTCAGAAATTAGAAAGTGGTGAAGGTTTCACAGCTCTGTGAATACACTAAAAACTACTGAACTATGTATTTTAAAAGACTGAATTTTATGGTATGGGAATTATATCTCAATAAAAGTATCATAAAATATATGTGTGAGCATGTGTGTAACTACTTTTAAACATCCATCACTCTATATTATCCATGATATATTATGATGCTCCAGCTTGGAAGTTGTATCATGCTAAAACTATCAAAGGGATACAGGAATATTATTTCAGGCCTTAGAATTAGACAAAAGCCTTCAGTTTTGGGGAAGAATGAGTCTTTACAAGCAGAATGTTATATGCTCCATATCCCACTGTCAGAATTCTGTTTTATCTCCATTCATTTGTTAGCTTTTCATTTCCTCAGGAAACCCTTTCTCACCCAGTCCTAACAAAAGCAACTCTTATGTTCAGCCTTGAGACTTCAGGCCTTCCTATTGAGCACCTGCTTACAAAAGAAGTTCTGTTAGAAAAGAGAAAACTCATACTGGAACAGGTACGTCAACCCAAAAATCGTGTGCTTATCCTACAATGCCTCTTCAGACAAAAAAGCCATTTAGAAGAGAACTATTCAATAATGTTGAAGACTGCAAATATTCCCAGGAATATTAATATAATGCAACCATCCTTGTCTATTTTCCATTATCATAAATATTGGCGCCTGCAGTGTTTGTAACAAAGGAGTTTTTAATTGCTGGACTTCAGAGATTATTCTCTGCCCTGTGAAATAAAATTTCAAATCTGTAACGGTCTGATATACTAACTAGATGAACTGGTTGCCCTTGGCACTAATATCCTAATTGTTTTTGTTAGCCAAAAGGGTTTTGGAATTTCTCTTTTATCAAGTCATACACATGGGTTAAATAATGTGAGGGGTCTGGGAGACTTCTTGTCCTGAAACAATGGGTTTACACTGTCACATTAGAGACCAAAGGAGAGGCAAAGGGCAACACCGAAATTCCTAGCTCCTTATCGCCATTCCACCACTCCATATGATCCTGCAAGAAGGAATCTGGTCTGGGTGTACATTTCCCACTCTGACATTTTAGGTAAGGAGCCCTGGTGGTACAATGGGCTAGCAGAAGATTAGCAGTTTGAACCCCCCCAAGAGCTCCACAGGAGAAAGACCTAGTGATAGGATCCCATGAAGATTATAGCTGAGGAAACCACATGGGGAACTCATACTCCGTCATATATGGTCACTACCAATTGAAATCAACTCAAAGGGTACAATAACAAACAACACATTTTAGATGTAGGTGCACGCACAAAATGAAAAGGAAGGAAAAGGAAAGATGTTGGATGTGCGTAATGAGGAACGGTGGGGTATAGGGAGTTGTTTTAAAGCCATACTTGCAAACATAAATCTTTTAATGCAAGATATTCAAACCGAAGTCAAGAGACAATTGTCAATACAATGAAGAGCTTACCTTTTAAGAATCAACTCTGCTTGTTTTTCAGAAATAGTTAGACCCAACGTCTGGAGTGACTGGACAATTTCTGAAGCCTCAATTTTCCCTTTAAAAAGATGAAAAGATCAGCAACTCAGACTCAGAACTGATAAGAAACTTAAAAACTCATTTTAAATCTCTCATTTTATACAAGAAAGCCTTGAACTGATTAAGGCAAAATTATGTAATTAAGTGAGTTATGGGTTTGCTTAACCACATATTATTGTACTATCAGTACTCAGTATTCAACAAATACAGGCATACACACATTGTTCATTTAATAATCATAGCAAGCTTATAAGTAAATAATGATATTGCTTTTGAGAAAAAGACCAATTTTAATTAGCTTTGCCAAGTAACATAATTAAGAAGTAGCAGAGCTGAGATTCAACTCAAGATATTCTGGCTCTGGTAAATTCAAAGTAGGATCTGTTATTTAAAATATATATATGTGTATTTATACATTATAATAAATACCAAGTATATAATTTATTATGTATAAAGCCATATTGTACTGGGTTAAGGAAAGCAGAAAATGAGGAAATTAAGCCAAAGAATATGAATAAATCTTTTGAGAAATCTGGTAATAAATATAATAAGAGCTGGGCTATAAGGACAATGGAAGAGGGAAGACTGTCAGGATTAAGGAAAATGAAGCATGTCTGTAGACAGAAAGAAAAGACTCAAGAGGATAAAAAGAAAGAAAATAAAAGCAAAAAATATAGGAAATACTGCATTTCCCTTAAGCAATTAATAGAGTTAGGGGGATTCTAAGACATGAAACAAAACAACGAGGGTTTGATACCAAGCCAGTATTAATGGCAAAGCTCTCCAGGAAAAAAAAAATCATGAGTGAAATGCAAGATTTCATTTAAAATAAGGGCCTTGAAGAAATGCCAAGTTTTTGAGAGAATTTTTCAGGAGCAGTATGAGAATGTGGACTGGGGGCAAAGAAAGTTGGAGGCATCCATCTGTTAGAAAGGGAACGCCATACTTATTCAATCTGTATGCTGAGCAAATAATCTGAAAAGCTAGATTGTATGAAGGAAAATGTGGCATCAGGACTGGAGGAAGACTCAATATCCTGTGATATGCAGATGATACAACCTTGCTTACTGAAAGCTAAGAGGACTTAAAATAGCTTGCTGATGAAGACCAAAGACTACAGCCTTCAGTATGGGTTGCACCTCAAGATATAGAAAACAAAAGTCCTCACCACTGGACCAATAAACAACATCCATACCAATGGAGTAAAGACTGAAGTTGTCAAGAACTTTATTTTGCTCAGATCAGCCATCAACACTCATGGAAGTAGCAGTCAAGAAATCAAAGGACATATTGCATTAGGCAAATCTGCTGCACAAGACCTCTCTAAAGTAATGAAGAGTGAAGATGTCATTTTGAAGACTAAGGTGAGCCTGACCCAAGTCATGGTATTTTCAATAACCTCATATGCATGTGAAAGCCGGACAGTGAATAAGGAAGACTGTAGAAGAATTGATGTATTTGAGTTATGGTGTTGAAAGAGAATATTTGAAAGTACCATGGACTGCCAAAAGAACAAACAGATCTATGTTGGAAGAAGTACAGCCAGGGTGTTCCTTGGAAGCCAAGATGGCCAGACTTCATCAGTCATACTTCAGACATGTTGTCAAGAGGGACCAGTCACTGGAGGATATCATGATTGGTAAAGTGGAGGGTCAGAGAAAAAGAGGAAGACCCCCAGCGAGATGGATTGGCACAGTGGAAATCCATAGGCTAAGCATAGCAACAATTGTGAGCTTGGCCCAGCACCAGGCAGTGTTTCGTTCTGTTGTGCATAGGGTCACTATGAGTCAGAACTGACTCAATGGCACCTAACAACAACATCTGTTAGCAATTGTTGTTGTTGTTGTTAAGTGCCGTCGAGTCGGTTCCGACCCATAGCGACCCTGTACAGGGTTTCCGAGGGTGTAAATCCTTACGGGAGTAGAAAGCCTCATCTTTCTCCCGCGGAGCGGCTGGTAGTTTCGAACCGCTGACCTTAAGGTTCACAGCCCGATTCGTAACCACTACGCTACCAGAGCTGTTAGCAATAAAAATTTTTAAATGCTACTCTGAATATTCTCCTTTATAACTAAACTCTTAAGAAATATACACTTTGCTTTGAGAAAGGCTGACCAATAAAAATATGAACTTATAATGGGAATTTGTTTTAAAATATGTAAATACATTAAGAAGAAACTGTTTGCATTTACTATAAATGTATCACTAAAATTTCGTCTTCAATTATTTCCCCTGGTTCATTTAGAATTTTCTGAAATGGACAACTGATGCACACACAGTTTATATCCTGGGAAGGCTGATCTCTAATTACCTGGCCAATGATCCTGTGGTGGCTCCATCTCCTGTCACCTTAATTGTATAGAGACATCTATGCAACTGAACTTTAGAAGACTCAGGCTGGGATCAAAACTTGTGCAGAAGTAGGAAAATTGAGAGCAGGATTTTGCAAGGAGACTAAAGTTACGCACTGGGGACATGTAATATAAGGCATAGGAGCCCTGATGGTGCCAGGATTAAGAGTGTTCAGCTGCTAACCAAAACATAGGTGGTTTGAACCCACTCAATGTCTCGGTGGGAGAAGACCTGGCAATCTGCGACTGATGTTGTGGTTCTATTCTGTAACCCATGGTGTCACTGTGAGTTGAAATTGACTCAATGGCATCCAACAACAACAACATAAGGCCTGTGGAAGACAACAGATGTCCAAACAGTGCTGCTTTCCACCACAGTCTCCCTGACTGAAAGTCACATCAAAACTATTCAAAGGGTTTAACTCTTTGAAGAAACTTGCTTTGATTCTATATAAAGTTATTAATCAAGGAGCTCTGGTAGCGTACTGGTTACGAATTGGGCAGCAAACCACAAGGTCAGTAGTTCGAAACTGCCAGCTGTTCCGTCGGAGAAAGATGAGGCTTTCTGCTCCCGTAAAGATTTACAGCCTCGGAAACCCTGTGCAGGATCACGATGAGTTGGAACCGACTCCACGGCACATGACCAACCAACCAACCAAAGTCATTAATCAGCATAAACAAGAGGCCAGCAAATACAATCCTTGAGCCAAATCAGACACACTGCCTGTTTTTATGATTAAAGTTTTATTGGAACACAACCATGTTCATTCATTTAGGTATTTTTATGGCTGCTTTTGAGCTATAGCCAGGGAAATGAGTACTGTTAACAGTGAATGCATGGCCCATAGAATATTTATTATACTTACTACCTGGCCCTTTTTTTAAAAGAGTTTACCAATTCCTGATATAAGCCAAAAAATAAAGTGTATTTGTTTAACTTGTTTGTTACATTGAGTCTGTGACTGGAATGGTCATGTCTATTCTTAAGTGCTGTTGTTGTTAAGTGCCATTGAGTTGGTTCCGACCTGTAGCGACCCTGTATAGGGTTTCCGAGGAGCAGCTGGTGAGCTTGAACCACCAACCTTGCAGTTCAAACGGCTTTGCAGTCTGGCACATTAACTCACAGCACCACACCAGGGCTCCTTAAGTAGGGTGGAGTTAAAGGCAAAGTCTATTTAAATAAATTCTCTCTTCATATGAAAGGCTGTCTCTGGTGATAAGGGTTTCATGACTCTTTCTCCAACTGCTGTGGTGGTTGTGTGCTACCATGTCGGTTCCAACTCATAGTGACCCTGTATAGGGTTTCTGGGGCTGTAAATCTTTACAGGAGCAGAAAGATTAATCTTTCTCCCATGGAGCAACTGGTAGATTCAAACTACTGACCTGTGGTTAGCAGTCTAGCTCGTAATCCACTGCACTATGAGGGCTTCTTTTCTCCTACTGTTGTCCCTGTTTTTTGCTCTATACACCTGGGAAGCACTCTGGCTTCCAGCTATTAATCTAAATGGTTTTTGTTTTGTTAAGTGCCATAGAGTTGGTTCCAACTCATAGTGTCCCTGCATACGCTTCTGAGGAGCAGCTGGTGACTTTGAACCATCAACCGTGTGGTGAGCAGGCCAGTGCTTATCCTACAGTGCCACACCAGGGCTCCATTACAAAAACCTTAATCTCAACTAGATTGTAAATATGTAGACATCTATGTGGCCAGTCACTCCTTGGATACCCTATGTAGCGTCACTATGAGTCAGAACCAACTCAATGCAACTTAACAACAACAATGTGATGCTATAGGATAAGACTGGACCACAAGGTCAGCTCAAGTCACAAGATTGGCAGTTCATACTTATCAACTATTCCTTGGAAATCCTATACAGAGTTAGCTATGAGTCAGAACTAACTCAATGACACTTAACAATAACCATTTTCAGTATCACATATTATCTTCCTAAAAATAATTCTTTCAAAACACTACCAAAATATAAGATTTCTGAACAGTTTTCTTATAACTTAAAAATATGCAATATTCACAATATTATAGAAACAGAAATCTTTCTTGTCCAAAGATCAAGGAAACAATTACTATTTTTAACAAAATATTTCAAGTCAAAGCAGCATAATGTTCAGTAGTTAATATTTTACAAAAATCCCAACCAGAAGTTTTTAATTCAGTAGACATAGCCATCTATAATTTTTTATAATATGAAAACCATATTACTAACAAAAATAAGTATCAGCAAAAGTAATCATCTACAAATAGAGAGGCTTAATAGATATCATTTTAGACTTGTAGAGACATGCAAAGTACTTCCTTATGGTGGTGGCTGTGTGCCGTGGAGTCGGTTCTGACTCATAGAAACCCTGCACAGGGTTTCCGAGGCTATAAATCTTTATGGGAGCAGAAAGCCTCATCTTTCTTCTGCGGAGCAGCTGGCAGTTTTGAACTGCTGACCTTGTGGTTCGCAGCCCAATTCGTAACCACTACACTACCAGAGCTCCTTATAGCTGATGATAAATAGAAAATAAAGACACACCATCATTATTTTTGTCCAAACTCTTAAAAGCCAGTTTCATCTTTTTCTCATGGTCTTTAAGGTACTTCATAAATTCTTCAAAATCCAGCATCCCATCTTTGTTGATATCTCCAGTAGTAAAAATTTTCTGCAAAAAAAGAAAACACAAATAAGATATTTTTATTGGCAATATGAACTAAGGTACTAAGTTATTTGTACACATGTTGTTGTGGAGTTGGTTCCGACTCATAGTGACCCTGTACAGGATGGGTTTCCAAGGCTGTAAATCTTTACGGTAGCAGAAAGGCTCATCTTTCTCCCACAGAACAGCTGGTGGTTTCAAACTGCTGACCCTGAGGTTAGCAGCCCTATTTGTAACCACTACGCTACCAGAGTTCCTTATTTGTACATATAGATCAATTAAATTGGCTCTTTTCCTATAGGACTGAAATAATCCTGGTGTGGTGCTGTGGGTTAATTCACTAGACTCCAAGGTCAGTTTGAACCACAAGGCTGGCAGTTCAAGCTTGCCAGCCACTCCTTGGAAACCCTATACAGGGTCACTAATAGTTGGAACCAACTCGACAGCACTTAACAACAAAGTACCAATTACTGGCCAAATAGTTCCTTCTCCAATATGGTAAAAGATTTACAACAAAAGTCATCTTATGACTGCAAAATGATTCCAGATCATGTGTTAAATTTTCTACTCTAAAAATGATTTCTGTAAAACATGAACTTTCAATTCTAACTGGAGCACATCCTAATTTCATTTATATATATTGTAAATGCCAAAATCTAAGACAAATGCTTGACCTGATGTGGGATTTATTTAAATTTCTAAAATATTATTTTTCCTTTCAATTTCCAGAACCAAAGAATCTCTTCTTAAAGATGATTCTTATAAAAAGTTGTCATGTTAAATTGTCTGTTTTTCCTGAGCTATTACTCTTCTTTGGTTAGACTAAAATTATTTTTACGTGACCTTTTCTTCTAAATTTTATCTTATCATCTTAATAAATCATTGCTTTTGAGAAAGAAATAAAAACATATGAAATTTAGTACTACAAGTAAACCCTCACCCACTTCCACCAAAATATAAGTTCTCTATATATTAAGATAATCATAATTCCTCACCTAAAGTTTACAGATTCTTTTGGTATTATAGTCATACTCTTCTCACATACAAATGCTACATCATATCAGTATGTATAATGGGCAGATTTCAGAGAAAGAAAAGTCTGAGACCCACGGGATATTTAGAAAAAGCTATGTATAGAAGGAAATTTATTATTTAAATGCATATATTTAAAATAAATCAAATCACTTTTGGCATTAGGTAAATCTGCTACATAAGACAGCTTTAAAGTATTCAAAACAAAGACGTCAGTTTGAGGACTAAGGCACTACTGATCAAAGCCATGTTATTTTTAATTGCCTCATATGCATGTGAAAGTTGGACAGTGAATAAGGAAGACCACAGGAGAATTGATGCACTTGAGTTATGGTGTTGCAGAAGAATACTAAACGCACCATGAATTGCCAGAAGAACAATCAAATCTGTGTTGGAAGAAGTACAGCCAGAATGATTCTTAGGAAGCCAGGCTTTGTCTCTCATACTTTGGACATATTATTATCAGTAGGGACCACTCCCTGGACAAGAACATCATGTTTGGTAAAATGGAGGGTCAGTGAAAAAGAGGAAGTCTCCCAACAATATGGAATGGCACAGTGGCAGCAGCAATGGGCTCAAGTGTAACAAGATTGTGAGGTCGGCACAGGATCAGGCAGTATTTCATTCTGTTGTGCATAAGGTCATTATGAGTTAGAACCAACAGCACATAACAACAACCTAATTTAAAAGAAGAAAAACTGGGAGTCAATGATCTAAACCTCAAGAGCAATAAATTAGACTATAAAAAATTTTAAGTTGGAGGAATGAAATATAAAACAAATCTACAATCCAAAGTATCAGCAAAGTCAAAAGATAATTCTCTCAAGAGACTAAAAATTTGGTAAATACCTGAAACTGGCAAGTAACCAATGTCAGAAGTTAAAAGATGAAATTCTCTACACACTACAAACACTACAACTATTATGATAAGTTTATACTTTAAAAAATATTAAAATTTATATAAAATGAACCAATGCTTAGGAAAAGAGAACTTATAAAAATGTGGTATAAGATAAACTAGATAACCTGAGTAGTCCTATATGTATTAGAGAAATTTAATCTGCAATGTAGAAATATTCCCATGAAGAAGAGATTAGTCCCAAATGGCTTTAATAGTAACATATACCAAACATGTTAGAAAGAAATGACACCAATTGGGACAGTTAAGGTTTTATGTCAACTTACTGGGCCAGGATTCTCAGTGGTTTGACAGTTGAGATGTAGCTATTCCTCTTGATATGATTTGATGTGATAAACCAATAAGAGGATTAAAGGTGGGATTGTTGGTAGTATTAAGTGCCATCAAGTTGGTTCTGAGGAGCCACTGGTGAAGTTGAAAACTGTCATGCTTATCCCATAGCTCCACACCAGGACCACCCTTAATTCCACCACTACCATGCTCCAATTTACATGACATTCCCAAGGGTGTGGCATGCAACACCTTTTTCTCTAATAAGAGATAAAAGGAGAGAGACTCGAGCAAAGAAAGAGACACCTACTACCATCAACATAAAAGAGCTGGGAGTGGAGTGCATCCTGGGTTCTGGCACTGTGAAGCTTCTAGATTCAGGGAAAATTGATGCCAAGATGTATGGAGAGCTCTAATTAATACTGGGCCTACAGATGCTGAAAGAAGACATGGACCTTTACCTAGAGCCAACAAAGAGAATGTTGTTAGGTGCCATCGAGTTGGTACCTACCCATAGAGACTTTATTCACAGCAGAACGAAACACTGCCCGATCCTGGGCCAACCTCACTACTGTTGCCATGCTTGAGCCCATTGATGCTGCTACTTGGCCAATCCATCTCACTGGGGGTCTTTCTCTTTCTCTCTTACCAAACATGATATCCTTCTCCAGTGACTGGTCCCTCTTGACAATATGTTCGAAGTATAAGAGACAAAGTTTGGCCATCTTGGCCTCCGAGGTACACTCTGGCTGCACTTTTTCTAACACAGATGTGTTGGTTCTTTTGGCAGCCCATGGCACTTTCAATACTCTCCTCCAATACCATAACTCAAAAGTATCAATTCTTCTATAGTCTTCCTTATTCACTGTCCAGTTTTCACAAGCATATGAGGTTATTGAAAATACCATGGCTTGGGTCAGGCACACCTTAGTCCTCAAGCTGACATCTTTGCTCTTCAACACTTTAAAAAGGTCTTGTGCAGCAGATTTGCCTAATGCAATGCATCATTTGACCGACTAGGAAGAAGGAGAAGCAGACCACTTTTGAAGGTTTAGCCACTGAAAACCTTAAGAACAGCAGTGGAACGTGGTCAGATATAGTGCCCAGAGATGAGTCTCTTAGATGGGAAGCCCTCAAAATATAGTTGGGGAAGAGCTGCCTCCTCAAAGCAAAGCTGACATTAATGACATGGGTGGATCAGAGGTTTTTGGGACCGTCATTTGCTGATAGGGCACAACTCAAAATGAGAAGAAACAGCTACAAACATCTAATAATAACTGGAACATGGAATGCACAAAGTATGAGTCTAGGAATATTGGAAGTTGTTAAAAATGAAATGGAATGCATAAATATCAACATCCTAGGCATTTCTGTTAAGTGCCATTAAGTCGGTTCTGATTCATAGTGACTATATCAGGTTTCCAGGAAGTATTTGGTGATTTGAACCACCACCTTGTGGTTAGCAGTGAAGTGCTTATTCTATAGCACCACACTAGAGCCCCTAGGCATTAAGGAACTGAAATGGACTGATATTGGCCATTTTTAATCTGACAATCATATGTTGTACTATACCAGGAATGACAAATTGAAAAGGAGTAGCATCCCATTCAAGGTCAAAAGAGCAATCCAAGATCTATCTTGAAGTACAATGTTGTCTGTGATAGGATAGTATCCATAAACCTATAACAAGTCCTGGTGTGGCACTATAGGATAAGCACTGGACTGCAAGGTCAGTGGTTCAAACTCATCAGCCACTTTTTGGAAACCCTACTCAGGGTCACTATCAGTTGGAAATGACTTGACATTTAACAACAACATAAAAAAAATTGGTTTAGTATAACAAGTACTCAAATTTACATAATCACTAAAGTCAATGATGACAAAATTGAAGAATTCTGGTGTGGTACTGTATGATACACACTAGACAGCTAACCAAAAGGTTGGAGGTTCAAACCCACAGCCCCTCCTCTGAAACCTTATACAGGGTCATTATGAACTGTTGCCAACTCCTTAGCCCTTAACAACAACAACCAACTTCTTCAGAATGAAATTGATAACATCTGCAATCAAGATGCATTGATAACTACTGGTGACTAGAATTTGAAAATTGGAAACAAAGAAGAGAAGCAGTAGTTCGAAAATATGGCCTTGGTGAGATCATATGATAGAATTTTGTAAGACCAATGACTTCTTTATTGCAAATACCTTTGATCAGCAACACAAATGGCAACTACATACATGGACTTCATGAGATGGAACACACAGAAATTAAATTGACTACATATATGGAAAGAGATGATGGATGAATTCACTGTTATCAGCCAAGCCAGTGGCCAACTGTGGGATAGACCATCAATTGCTTCCATGCAAGTTCAGGATGAAGCTGAAGAAAATCAAAACAAATCTACAAGAACAAAAATATGACCTTGAGTATATCACACCTGAATTTAGAGACCATCTCAAGAATAAATTTGATTCACTAGACACTAATAAACAAACAATAGAAGAGTTGTGGAATGACATCAAGAACATCATACATGAAAATGATATATGAAGAAAGCAGTCACTAAAAAGGCAGAAAAGTCCAAAATGTAAGTCAGATAAGACTCTGAAATTTGCTCTTGAATGTAAAGAAGCTAAAACAACTGGAAGAAATGGTGAAGTACAAAAGCAGACAGATATTTTCAAAGGGCAGCTCAATAAGACAAAGTAAATTATTATGATGAAATGTGCAAAGTTAGAAAATCAAAAAGGAAGTATACACTCAGCACTTTTCAAGCTGAAA